TGTACCACCATGACATCTTTACATTTTGAGTAAATAATCAAGCGTTGCATTATTTGAGTACATGTGTAGATGATACTATAGTTACGTAAGTGACTTTGTTTCAAATTGCATGTATTTTAATTTGCTGTGTTCCATCATATAGGTGTTTCGAAGTCAAAACCCAGGATATATTTTGGTGTTGCGCGTACTATACATAAGAACACGTTCGTATACAAATCGTTACATACTGAATATATTTGACGGAAACAGTTCGTCCTCCCGGTGGCTGAAGAGCGTGTATATGTACGGTGCCGAGGTAAACATGCCGTCCCCTCTCTACACAACTGGCGGCTCAGTCTTGCTGTCATTTTCAAGACTAAATATTGACTCTAGCGAATGATATCAAGGAATGTTTAAAGTTCAGTCCGTTGCCGATGAGTAAATATTAATTATGTGAAAGAAAGTATTTTCGCGCATCTCCACATATCGCATAGCATATCGAATTCATTTTCACTTTCAGTTCATAATGACTTAGTAAGTCATGCTTGTCATAATGTTTGATAAGAATGTGCTATTGTAACGTAAAGTAATATACGTAAACTCGTATGTATTTTTACAGCTTATTCAGGACACTCTAGGGGTTTATCATTGAATAACGTCAAAGTTACAACATCCGGATATGGAATTTTTATTGAGAATCAACTGCATCCAATTCGCATATCAGGCTCTCGTGTGACACTTTCCTCAGAGGCAGGTCTGTACGTTGGTAAGGGATCCGGTACGATTGTGCTTCAGGACAGCGCCTTTGTGAATAACATGAACCATGTGCACTTTGAGCACATCCAGAGGAATGTTACCGTGAAGAACAATGAATTCATTAATTCCTCTAACTATGCTTTGTCTGTTGGCACACGCCCGGTGTGGACATCATCAAATAAAATCTGCTTCATTTTTCAAAACAATACCCTGATGGATGATTTATTTGGTATATCAGTACCGCATGCTAGACAGTGTGCCCTAACAGACATCGTAGTGTCCGGCAATGTCTTTCACAATCAAAGCGGAACTGCCCTGATGTTGGGGTCTGGTTATGGATGTGGAACAAACAAACTTAGTTCCGTCCAAGTGAATGAGAATTCGGTTTCTAAAACAAAAGAGACTGCAGCTTTTGTAATAGAAACTGACAACAGGGGCACCCAAATACTCAACAACATGTTATCCGATAATGACGTGTCCAAGTGTGTTCTTTGTGTTTTTGCCTCCAGTTTGTTCGTGACTGGTAATAAATTTAGAAACAACAATGTAAGAACGGAAAACAAAAGACATAGGGTGGGTGCTGTCATGGTCTTGATAAATGCTCCAAGTAGTTTCACATTCACTGACAATGTTTTCGAAAACCTGTTGGTCGAATATCCACTGGCCACTTGGCACGAGAATTCCGTCCTTAAAACACTTGATGTGTCACGAAATTACTGGGGAACACCAAACCCGCAGGGTGTTTACTCGGGCATTATCGATAATACAAAACGCTACACACTGAGAACCGAGTTCCTATTCACTCCGTTCTATATCACGTCTGATCTCTCCAGTTTGTCCCCAGCGACTATAGAAGTGGACCCAGCGCCAACTCCCTACACACTCGGTGGCCGCATTAACACCGACCTTACTCTTAAGGACACTGGTAGACCGTACACGTTGACACATGACTTGAACGTGACAGCCAACGCCACACTAACCATAGAACCAGGAGTGGTTTTAGCATTTGAAGATTCTGTGGGGATGTACATTGAAGGAAGACTTAATGTCAGTGGAACAGAGAGTAAGAAGTGCATCTTTACCGCCAAGGGAAAGGTGGCTACAACGAAAAATGTCACATCTAAAACATATTTTGGTAAATTTTCGTTACTTCGAGGGCCATGGCAATCATATGACACGGCATCGTTTTATGGACAACTTTACGGAGAAGAAAACGGAGACATATTGCCAGTTTGTTATGATTCTTCATTGAGAGAGCCAATGTTGACAACATGGCTGGACGGAGAATGCAGGCGACTTGGATATGTTTCTCTATTCTGCATGAGCTCGATTTCTGATACGGCTAAACTGGGGTTAAAACTAAACTGTGCTGTAAAAGTTTATTGGTAATTTTCAGACGAGCTGCCACCAAACAAAGCAAGCCTAACATTGGACAATGTTATAATCAGTGGATCCTCCAGAACAGTATATGGCTCATACCAAGCCAATGGAATACGGACTGACAGGAGACATCCAGACTACCCTGATGTGGGACAAGTCAGCGTTGATATAAAAGACTCTGTTATAGTAGGAAACTACAAACTGATGGATGTTTGGTTATAAAGATTATCTAATGTTCCACTGGTGAATGAATTGTTACCATCTTTCGCCATCTCAATCAGAAATACGACCTTAGATTCCAATGACTATGGGATTTATATTGACAATTACCGTGGAAATCGAGAACAGTTAACCATTGATGGATGTAAGATCAGAATTACCAGGAACACAGTGTCCGGGAAGACAACCCCAAAGATGTGGACATCCAGTTTTTGAATAACGAAATCATTGATAACAGAGGGAGTGTACTTGACATCGGTGGTGCTCTGCATATGACAGTATCGGGGAATAACATCACAGACAATGAGTACAGCTCTGGGTCAATGAACTTATACCGGGGATATGAAAAGACAATACAATTCGTGAACAATGATATATTAGGTAATCGTTACAGAAATTTCATCGTCATTAATATGGAGAAATCAACCTATGACCTAAGCCAAACAACAAACGTTGGACTGGTAGGGAATATCATTGCTAACAACACTTATTCATCCGGCAACAACGAAGGACGGTCATCACAGCCCCCAGTGTCAGCTGCACTCGTTTTTGATGGTTATGGAAATGTCTGCGTTCAAAACAACACGCTTCAAAACCCGGGTCTAGAGGCAGAGCTGTATGTCAAGACTCGCTCTACAAAATGGACAAACACCTTTGAAGCCAGATACAACACGTGGGAATGTGAAAATACCCGTTGCGTGAGAAAACGTATATATGACGCACACAACGACATGTAGCTACCAGAAGTGCGAGTACTTCCATTTGTGTCAAGATCGAACGAGTTGGTGTACACTCCTGACGTCACGGAGGGGCTTCCACAAGGAAACGTTCTTGGTGGGTGGCTGAACAAGTCCATCACATTAGAAGCAGCAGGTTCTCCGTTCTATCTAAAAGAAGATTGGACTATTTTACCTGGTTGAGGTTTTCATTGAACCTGGTGTTTGGATTAAGCCAGCAAGGGACAAAGGGATCCTCGTTCTGGGACGGATAGTTGCAAGGGGAGAAAAGAGAGAAAGGTTGCCTTTGGCTGTCAATACCAAACAGCTAATTGCTCTTTTTGGCAAGGATTGGCGTTTGCTTCAGATGAAGTCAGAACTAGCCCTTCGGAATTGCTCTTTGTAGACATTTTTAATGCAGGTTACAAAGGAAACACGTACGGCGCAGCTGTGCAGTCTTTCAGCCCCAGTGTAATCATACAGAACTCACGAGTGGCCCAGTCAAGGTTGAACGGTATTGAAATAATTGGACCAGCATTGAAATCCAGCATCATTAAACGAAACGAGTTCCTTAACAACAGAGGTGTTGGGATAAAAGCTGTTGTACATGTGGCTCACCCAAGAAGTGAACCACTCAATACTAGGGTCAAACAAGAACATGTAGGATGGCCAAGTGACGTTTATGGAGTCGGTAGTATTTGCGAAAAAATTCCAAAATGCTCATTGTTAAGGACAGAACTGTGGTTTATTCAGACGGAAAATAGCATGAAGGATATTATTTTTATTGCACACGTGCAATATGTTCTGAACTTGGACAGAATATCACAATCCAAATTTTACAGTTTAATCTGTACCGTTTTCAACTGGAAATATTCGAAGGATCGTCTCCTCTTCTCTTAAGGCGACTTCTTTATGCTGACCAGACAAACGATTCACTTCCTTCAGATGTTCCAATAAACAGTTCCAGTGTAACCATCCGGTTATATAGCAGTACCAGGAACTGGGACACATATGGTTTGCAAAGCATGGTCTTTGGTATCAAGATCTCCAGTGACACATCCACAGGTAAGACTGTACATTAACACAAACACGTACTAGTAGCATGTCATTGTGGTACTTGACATTCATACAAAGACTTTATCGATAGGTAAGAGTTCTTAAAGATAAAGTTTAAATTTACAGTCGTTAATTAATATACAAGTGCACGTGTATATTTTACGTTTCATAATAAATACTATTTGGTTTGTCTTTCAGGGTCTATCGGCAACTTGGTCATCGAGGAAAACACTTTCTTTAACAATGGTCTGGGTGGAGTGAACATTACTACATTTGGACAGAGTAATTGGGATATAAACATCAACAAAAATATATTTCACAGAAATGGACTATCGACTTCCCACCGAGCTGAACATTCCAAAGCGGCTATCCGGCTAAATATCGCTGACACTAGTGGTACATTGGCAAACAATTCCATGGAAGGGAACCAGGGTGGCATCCACGCTAGGACTCACAGCGTATTCCAAAACAATAAGCGGTTCTCTATGCAACCCAGCTAGAGAGCATTCAGATGGTAGAAATAGAGGACGGCCCTCACACACAGCAGTGCAGTATAGATGGGAATGTGATACAACACGGACAGGGAAATAGGTACAGTGATGTACTCCACCTGGAGGGTGTGTCTGGAACCGTCACAAACAACTACATCTACAACAACACGGGTCTTCACGTGATGTGGTGGACAAAACCAGCCAATAGGAACATGAGTGACGTCACTACTGACAACATCATATACTACAACATTGCAAGAGATGCAAACAATATGGCGGCCATAGTTTTTGGTGGCTGATCATCGTTTCTCCATGACAATGTCTTCCAAAACCCTACATTTATATTCGAGATGACAAGTGAAGGGGCATCTTCAACTGTAAATGCCTCTTCAGCTGTAAATGCCTCTTACAACTGGCGGGGTCTTACAGAGCATGCGCAGATCAAGCAGAGGCTACGAGATAGGGGCACGGGGTTCCCATACCCAGAGGTCTCCATACATCTAATCATTGATTCCATGTCTTCTTATCAAACAGGTGAGAAAGTTTTCAACACTGACACGGCCGTGTAGCTAAAACAAGTCATATTTGCATTTTTTTTTTTACTTTTATTCTGTTATATCATGATATTTTTTTGTTATTTTAAATGAAAAAACTGATCCGATACCTTAATAATGCTTCATGTGATTTCATCATTGTATTACTTGAATTACCTTTGGCATATATTGCTAGGATATCAGTAATGATACATTTATGATAATAATATCAACAATTAAATTAAAACAAATTAATCAAAAGTTTGAAGTTGAACATATAAATGGATTGCGATAAAATTTACAAAATAAAACATTTGCATAAAAGATACATGTATACATAATCTAAGCTTCCAAAGGCTCGATCATCCAAAAAGCATTAAAACTGGGAATATGTTACGATTTTACTTTATATTGTAATATTTCAAGGCCCAGTGTTTTCCCTGCTGATTACCCCCGTCAGATAACAAAGTGTCCCGTAGGGCAGTTCATTCCGGACTCCAGAGTTTGTCGGCGGTATTACAGCTGCACTGCAGGTGGCGTCATTCCCAAGAATTAACAAAGTGTTTAATGCCTTTTACTATTTCTGTACCAAAGGTTAATCCGTAGTTCACCAAGATACAGATACAGTTATTCCAGTGAACATGGTAGTCCTATTTTCCTATTAGTCCTATTTTATTTTTCGCACGCAATTGAATTAAAATTTAAAACGCATGCTGATTTTTGTTTGCGTCTATCTGAATAATATTTGTCAGGTCATTCCATTCTTGTGACCAGAGACAAGGTCAAGTATCCCAGGTCCAAAGATTTTGTCATTGTCAGCAAGCAAGCCGGAGGAATCATTCATAAAGTGTACGCAACTCAAGAAAAAGGTGAGTTTATTATACTTCATGTAACACTATTTTTCAATCAAAGAAACAATTTATGGAAATACACCTGGCTAGTTGCACGACGTCAAATACTTTCTGACGTAACTTATGACGTCTTGACATTATGTCAGTAGTGTTCTCTAGTTCCGTGATATTTCTAATACATTAATGTAGCATATTTATTAATCCATAACCTGAATATACATGTATTCTTAAATTACTCCTTATAAAAGTTGCATCTTCATGGCGTTTAACCAGTAATCGGCATAAAATATAAACGTGCATTTTAGGACAAAATGTCTGAGTCTCAATTTATATAAAGTATGAATGATAGATTTTGTTAAAACGAGATTTTTCTCCCCTTTAAACGTGTTTAAATAGGCTTATAATATCTCCATGATTCATTATACACCACTACGTGTACATCGTAGAATTATATGTTTTTATCAGCTTTGACAGTCGTTTTATTCAGGAACATACCGATATTTTGCTGCTGTAAGGGCCTAGTTGGAAGATGTCATTCAGTATGCCAACTTTAACCAAACGCTTCCTGTCCGTTCCCTCATGGATGACAGGACGCTGGAGCACGTGCCGGAGGAACGCATTTTTAAAATTGCCTACATGTGGGAAGGCGAAGCCATTAGAGGTTCCTCAGTTCACGTGATAAAAGGTGAATCTCTTGAAGTTCTGATTTTAAATTGCCCCCCAAAAATATTTATAAACAATAAATATAAATGGTTGAATTACAGAGTGAAATGTTTACTTGTATAAAGTATTTACCCTACACTACAAGTAGCGTACGTTTTCATTTGATAAATATGTGAACCACAGCTGGTAAAAATATCTCATTTCTCATTTCAGATGATCATGTTTTTAAATGTCTTGGACATTGGTACAATGTGACCATAAGACCCGTGGTGTCTCAGTACATTGTGCTACGACAGAGTACGTCAAATCACATTAATGTTGGCGATGTGGTAGTCGGCGGGGAAAGTCAGGGCTTCCTCGAGGACTTAGAGGATATTGTAACAGAATCTGAGTCTGTGACGTAGCACGCCAAAGTGAAGACGTGTAGTCAGGCTATGTCTTTTAGGTGAGTGGTATTTGTATACGATGTATACTACATGTACTTGCTGTTCTACATCTTAGTTACTTCAAAACGTGACATACATTATATTATGTGTAGTGCGTCATATTAAATTCCCAGTCCCGGTCGAACGGTTACGACAACTCTGTGCCGTCTCTTTGCAATATGAATACTGATACGGCAAAATTAATTTTTGATAATAATTGGTCGACAGTAGGACGTAAAACATATTTAAATTTGAAAAGAAATATTCATTGTAAAATATCAAAGGAAATTTCTCTGTACATTTTTAATGTGTACATGCATGCAACTGAGTATCACAACAAACATCTACTGCATCTCAGAAGTATCAGCTTCTTTATTCCTGTACATACATACACACCAACGTGACAGTGTGAGTAAAATGACCCAAGGATACTGTTGAGCGGGTAATTAATATTTCCCGCTCACGTGACTAACAAAGCTCACGTGACTGCCAAAAGGGCGGGAATGCTTTCGTAATAATGTTTAACCCTATTACACATGTCCCCCCAAAAATATGATGGCGTCCCGCCAATCACAATCATATTTACAAAATATGTACACGGAAGTAAATTAAATGACAAAAATACATTACATTTAAAAAATACAAATTATCCACATTACATTAGCAATTTATACTTGTGAACGTGCACACACACACACACATACAGCCACGCACACGCAACCTTTACGTTAAGGAAACGCGACTGAATACGCAACTTATAAGAAAAGACAAAACTACTATTGCAATCTTTTACTTTTTTATTTCCTCTGACTAAAACATTAAAATATCTTAAAATCACATTTTCTCAACTTTACACAACTTTGCCAACAATTCAAATATCTTTTGACTAGCACGGGATGAATTCCCCAAACACTCCTACTAGTGCATTCACAGAGCTAGGGTGCTCTGTTGCGACTTGTGAGAAAACATAATTCCCCTCCTCCATCCATTGAGGTCTCGCGTCTTTCGGCATTTGGGGGGGGGGGGGGAGGAG